AGTCAACGATGGGTCTTGATTTAAGGAGGAAGGGGATGAGGCCCTAACTCCCAGCCTCCTCCTTCCATCCTACCCCGTGTTCAGTAAGTGTGGCAAATTGTATGGTGCTAAATGCAAAAGAGACTTCTCTTTATACCCCTTATCTGGCCACTTTGGGCTAAAGGTGAATGATTTATTGTGAACTCAAGTCACTTCTTTTAGGCAAGTATCATTACAAACTAAGTGAAAGAAATGTTTGTGTTTGTTCTTGGCCTCTGCCCCTACAAGTAAGCCACCAGAAAGCAGTAGTACAAACATAAGTTTCCCACGAAGCTGGGTGTTGAGTTTTCATTTTTGGTAGGCCCTCCTAAAGTGTAGTGGTTAATTTTTGTGATCAAGAGTTTAGTTTATTTTTGATATGTTTTGGCTCTAGAGAGTAAATTGAGACCTCAAATGAGGAGGCTCTAATTTTGACACGTTTCGAGGCTGGACCGGCCTTTTTTCTCCCCATGGTTGTTAGATCAGGGTTCTGGCTCTGGCGATGTGGTCGCTGGGGGAGAACATGAACCATGTTTAATCTTCTGCGGGTGTTTGTTCAGTTGGTAAATGGGGCTGTCAGCTCTAGTCGCCCTGCCAGCAGATGCATCAGATTTTTCATGTACAGCATTAGTAACATATATTAGAAAGAAGCAAGTCCAAAGCTTTGAAATATTAGAGGCGAAAATGATGTTTTTCACTTTCTCTGCATTTACTAAAATAAATATTGTGGTTAACCTGTCTGCTGCTGGGAATATCAGTGTAGGCAGCAGTGGCCCCTTCCCTATTCCCATCCACCCCCCCTCCCTTTTTTTTTTACTCTCCAACCCAACCAACCGAATACTTTTTTCTTTTGGTTACATGTTAAGTCTTAATTGCCAGGTTTGAAGTTTAAGTAAATACTTAGACTAGGCAATAGAAATTTCCAGTGAGCTTTCATCACGTTGGTTTTGATTTCTTTCAGAAGAAAAAGCAGGTCACTGCTTATCCTTACCTCCTCCCTACTCCACCCGTCCCCCACCCCCATCCCCACTTCTCCCCCCAACCCTTCAGTTCCCAAACTTGACGGATCTAGAGGTTATTTGGCTTGGATCCTGGCCTCAGTGCTGAGGGAAACTGTTACATTACATTGTGCATTTCTGATAGGCTTAAAAATCAACCTTCTGTTGTAACCAATTTTCAGTTTTAAATTTCGTTGACCTCAGGAGCCCAAAGCTTCAGATTGTGAATTTCACCACCCTTAATTGACTATGGTGGTCCTGGAATAGTGTTGTAAGATAAGCAATGGACTGCTAATCGCAAAGTCGGTGGTTCAAGCCCACTAGCCACTCCTTGAAAACACCATCCAGAGTTGTGGAGTGGGAACCGACTCAACAACACTTGACAACGACTGCAGCAGTTGACTCTGAGCCGAGTGTGTCAGGATGGTCAACCTGGGAGAGGCAGGCCTGTGGGGGATCATGGGAACCAGCCATACACTAGACAGCGTGGGCCCAGGGTTTATGCAGAGGTAGTCTGGTGCTTGTTTTGTGAATCCCTAGTTGTGTTTGTGACAGGGATTGGTAGGATGGTGTTGGGGTTACCATCAGTCAACTTGCACATTCTTTAATACTTTTGTCAAGTTTGAAAAAAACTCTTTGCTTACGTCTCTCTTGGCATCCAATGTGGAGAACGCAGTTTATTTTTTTAAAAAAATCTTTGACACAGAGAGTTCTTTTTCTCCTGTGGGCTAGACGAAAGTTCCTACTGTGAAGCTTTTGGGTCACCTGACTTAGCTGTTTGTTTGTCATAGCTCCAGCAGGGCGTTCAAGAAATCATATTTTTCAGGTTACTTTGTATGAACGGAAGGCAACCTTTCTATTTTGTCTGCTGCCGACACACTGGGTGAAACCCAAATTACAGAGGCTTGCTGTTTCAGGTAGAAGGTAAAGGGGTAAGGCCAGAGGAGCTTCGTTTTGTCTAATCAGTCAACTCAGGGCTTGACATTTTCTAGCTGTGGCATTGCCTCCTTCTGCATGGCTTTCAGGTGCTCAGTGGAGAAGTGAAATTCACCAGATCCACTTGTGAAGATGAGAGTAATGATGTGATATTCTTGTAACCATTTGTAGCATGCCACTTGTATCTCAGGCCTATGACCTGTGCTGAGAAAGGAAAAAGTAAAAGGGTTGAACAGAAAATTTTAGACAGCTCAGGAAAACAGAGTCAAGTATTGTAATGAAATGTGCTAAGACCTGGGAAGAACACATTTAGCATTTCTCTAGCAGAAAGAACTGAAGAAAAAATTCAAACCTTGACTTGCAATATTGAAGCATTCTGTGGGCAAGATATTGAATGATGCAGAAATCATCAAAATAAGATGGGAGGAATCACCAGCATCACTATACCAAAAATAAATGGTTGTTGTTCAACCATTCAAGAGGTAGTGTATGATCAAGAACCAATACTACTGAAGGAAGAAGTCCAAGCAACACTGGGAGGCATTGGCCAAAAAGGCTCCAGGAATTGACAGAATACAAATTGGAATCTTTCAACAAACTGATGAAGAACTGGAGACACTCACTCATCTATGCCAAGAAATTTGGAAGACAGCTACCTGGCCAATGGATTGGAAGAGATCCATATTTGTACCCATTCCCAAGAGAGTTGACCCAATGGAATGTGGAAATAATTGACCAATATAATTAATATTATATGGAAGTAAAGTTTTGCTTAAGGTAATTTAAAAATGGTTGCAACCGTATATCCACAAGGAACTGCCAGAAACTCATTCCGGAGTTGGAAGAGGACATGAAATGAGGGATATCATTGCTGACGTCAGATGGATCTTAACTGAAAGATGGGAATATCAGAAAGACGTTTACTTGTGCTTTGATTTTGTGTAAAGACTTTGAACTCTGTGGACCAAGACAAGCTATGGACAACACTGGGAAGAATGTTATTCTTGTGTTTCAAAATTGTTAATTTCTAAACAGTAAATGAACTCCTGGTGTGGCACTGTAGGAATAGCACTGGACTGTAAACCCACAAGGTCGGCAGTTCAGACTCACCAGCTGCTCCTCAGAAGCCCTATCCAGGGTCACTATGAGTTGGAACTGACTCAATGGCACTTAAAAACGACAAAACTGCAGTAAGTGTTCAGCCCACTTAAACAAAGCCTCTTTGAGATTCTCAATAATTCAGTTTGAGAACTGCTGGTCTAATGGGTGGAGCTGTTAACACCGTCGTTTTAGATGTTACAATTCATGCTTCATAAGGATTTGGGGGCAATATATTTGTGGCAGGAATTTTATTTTTCTGGAAGAGGGTCTGGGAAACAAGCAGGAATAAGGATGATTGCTGGAGAAAGTTATTGAACCTTCACCGTTTTGTTCCTGCTAATGAGAAACATGGCGTTTTCAAGCTGCAATCAATAGCATGGTCCTCTTTGGTCTTTGCTAAATAAACTTAGGTTCCCAAACCAGTGGTGTCATTTATGGTGCTGCGTGACACTGGTCCAAGCCTTGTAAATACTATTTTGTAAATAATTTCTGCACTCCAGGTAGGTTTGGATGACATTGTATCCAATGTGTCTGTAATATACAAGTTACTTAGTAGACATTTCCTTCTCTTTCTCTGCTTAGTGAAAAGAACTTGCTTAAGATTCTATCTCTCAACCAGGTGCCCATTAATTTGTTGATTATGTAATTCTTACTCAAGAGCAAAACTAGTTAATTCCGGTTATTGATTGAAAGGCAGTGACCACAGGACCATTTCTTTGGTCTTTAGTAGAACATTTTCCCAAATGTGCTTCTTTGGGTGCTGACCGCTGTTTCGGCTTCTGCCCCCAGGCTTTTTGAAGACTGTGAATGTATTCCTGAACTATAGGGCCCCTGACCTGCACAGGGCTCTTCCAAGACTCTGGGAAGGGCCCTAGCAATGTTACATGAACATATCTGCACTAGGTTAAAACAACCTCCTTATGTTCTGGCTTTCCCTCTGTTGTGCTTACCGGCCAGTATGGTGACTTTGGAGTGGTCACAGGCATTATGGGACTTAATGAGTCACAAAGACCAGATCTTCCCACAATTACTTGTATCTATATGTGCATGCACTTAACAACAGCAACAACAACATATGTGTATGCATGCGGCAGTGTATGTTCTAGCTTTCCTGTCCTCATTTAACAAATGCCTAGGAAGAACAGACTGCCCTCTTCTGTACAAAGGAGCATCAATTTCATGTCATGCTAACTACAACGTTTTCAAATCAAGAACCTGCGGTCGTCTTGCTTCAGTCATTTCAAAGTAGAATGGGGAAAATATAAGGCAAGTTATAGATTGGTATTTCTTTAATAAACTAGAAAATCCCACATAATTGGACCTAGAAATTTGATCTTTACTCTGTAAATTGGGCGTGATGAGAAATAAACCCAGTAGTACATCAAGGAGGAGGAGCCGGGGAGGGGATAATGTGCTAACTTAAGAAAACTACTCTCCTTCAGAGAAACATACTTTTGTGAAGGGCAGATTTAAATGACACTGATAGCTGCTTGTGATTGCATCATGGGAGTCAGCACTCCAGGGCAGACATCTTGACACCTCCCCACCCACCCCACCCCCCCAAAAAAAAAAAAGTCCGGTTGCCCTTTAGCTGATTCCAGCTCCTGGCAGGCACATGTATTACAGAGTGGAACTGAACTCCGTAGGGTTTCTGAGGCTCCCATACAGATGGGAGCAGTTACCTTCGTCTTTCTTTCACAGACCAGCCACCTTGAAGTTAGCAGTACTTGTCCTACAGCACCATCAGGGTTCCTACATCTGCCCTAATTGTTACTGTGAGGTGCTGTCGAGTCAGTTCCAACTCAAAGCGTTTCATAAGGTTTCAGAGGAGCATCTGGTGGGTATGAACCACAGATCTTACAGTTAGCTGTTGAGTGCTTATCCTACAGAGCCACACTGGGACTCTTCACTGTAGTTAGAATAATAAATACTTTCTTTTCCCCCCAGATTCTCTCTGGCCCAAAATCCGGGTTCCATTAAAAGTTGTACGGACTGCTGAAAACAAGTTGAGTAATCGTTTCTTCCCTTACAATGAAATTGAGACAGAGGCTGTTCTGGCCATTGATGATGACATCATTATGCTGACCTCTGATGAGCTGCAGTTTGGCTATGAGGTAAGGTTTTAAACCATGCATTTATATGTTTAATATTTATGTCTTAGTAGTGCCTGTTTTCTCTTAAACCCAAAGAAGCATGATATTGTCTCATGTCATAATCTCTAACCTCTTCCCATAGAATCCCAAAAGCTGGGCATAAGAGTGTGACTTGTGGAGCCTTTCATTAAAAGTTTGGGGAAACTCTATTCCAAAATGACAACTGTGCCTGCCACTCGTTTTGGGAACTCCCATGGAGAGTCCCAGGGGACATTTTCAAAAGAGCATCTATAGCATTTAACAGGCACTTAATTGATGTCTCCTTGCCTAGCACTTCCCCTGACTCAAGCCACTGAATGCCACAACAATAAAAACATCAATAAGTGAAGAGGCCAGCGACACAGACAAACAGAAAGCAGCCCTGTTGATGGCTTTCTCTCTCTCCGGTTTTAAATAGAGGGGCTGACTGCCTGTCTTTAGGGAGAAACATTCTCTCTCACTGTTCATTCAGTGTGGCTGATGGATTAGGCTGGGTTCAGGGGTTAAGTATGGAGACCAGTAAAGGTCTTCCCAGGGGAAAGTGTCAGAGCCGAGGCCTGGTGAAAAGCCATTAGAATTGATGAGTCCTGTCAGGGAGGATGTTCATGAGAGGCATGATGGCGACAGGCAGCACCCACAGCTGTAGGGGTGGGAGGCTGTATCAGACCCAAGCAAAGCAGAATGTATAAATCAATTAGCCACCGCTGGGCGTGGAAAGTGGTGCAATTTAGCCCATACAATCACCTTGCCTTTGGGAGAGGGGCAAACTGTCTTCTTTAGGTGCCTCAGGATTTATAGAATTGGGGTTCTAAAGATATTGTGAAATTTTATCAAATGAAAGCCATGTTGTTGTTGTTAAGTGCTGTCAAGTTGGTTACAACTCATAACAGCCTTGTATAGGGTTTTCGAGGAGCAGCTGGTGGGTTTAAACTGCTGACCTGTGTTCACAGCCCAGTGCTGATCCTACAGCACCACACCAGGAGTCCATATGAAGCCTAAATTAAAGGTGGATTTTAAAGAAGGAGCCCAAGTTTCCCGTTTGAATGCAAAATAAATTGTTATGAAATTGACTAAAGTATGAAATGGATTATTTTAGCTACAGAAGAGTAACTATTAAGACTCTTGGTTCATTTTGAGGTGGGGTTAGCTCTTCATCAGAGATGACTTCTACATCATCACAGGATGCTGGTTGTTTTTAGAGCAGTACTATTTCCATTGTTTTTCTTTCTTTCATGAGAAATCTATAGGTAGCAAGACATTTGCCACTTGTACACAAGGGGGCTTCAAAAAGATTGAGGAAAAGTGGAACTAAAAGAGAATGGATTTTTCCATGAACTTTTTGAAGCCCCTCTGTACAGTTCAGTGACATTAAATAGGCTCATCGTTTTATTCAGCCTCACCATTCCTAAATTTTTCCATCACCCTCCTTGTTTTTATTTTTGAAAACATATTGCCTATTTTTTGTTTTGCTCTTTATTGCCAAGTCACTGCAAAAAAACCCACTCTTGCTTCTTCTTCTGGTGTTTTCTCTCTTCATTGCATAATGATTTCAAACTACCAGTGTGTTTATTTTTGTGGCAGAAAGGAGGTGGGAAAGGGAAAGTTCAGAGTTAAAGCCAGAGTGGACATGCTCTTTATTTAGTATTTTCAATTGGTCTAAAGGAAGTCGAATAAAAAGAAAGATGGGCTAAATGTTTTGTCTGGGATCTCTTTCAGCCGTGAGTGATAAATTCAACTGACAAAGAATGTGTTCGAGGAGGTACAAAAATTCGAGAGACCGAGTGTGAATTTTCACCTCTTTGCTCTGGTTACCTGAGTTTGAGTCCATATCACCTCTGAAGAAGTAGCTGCACATCCAGGGAATTAGGAACATGAAAACCCCTCATCTCTAGTCATCAGAATCTTCCCCAGCTGTTATGGGAGGCACAACGGTCATAGCTACCTTATATGTGTTCCAATCAATGTCCCGGGTATTTATTTACGTAAGATACTTCAAGGTTTTCCCTAAACCTTCAATTCAAGAACTGTTTTTCTCAGTTTGTACTGATATTCGCAAGGCTGGCAGTTCAAACCCACCATCCACTCTGTGAGAGAAAGACGAGCCTGTCTGCTCCCATAAAGATTTACAGTCTCAGAAACCATAGGGAGCAAGCAGTTCTACTCTACTGTTGAGTTGGAGTCGACTCTGTGGCAATGGCTATGGTTTTTTGACATTGGGATGGGAGTAGGAGGAAAATCAGCAGGCCAAGGCCAGTTCCTGTGACACTGAGACCAGACCTGCCTTCACCCTGCAGTCTTTTCACCAGTTCTGACATCACCCGCCCCTCCCACAGCATTGTCTGTTCCTCAGCTGGGTTCAGTAATTCACTGCAATAGCCACGCAAGACTCAGAGACAATGCTCACAACTATGGGGTTTGTTAGGGAGTTAACAGGTTACAATGCAGGATCAGAAAAGCCCAGGACACCTCTTTGGTGAGAACAACCTCTTCTCTGTCTGGCCCACAGTCCCTTGGCCTAGCCTCTGTCCTACTCAGGCAATGTTACAAAGCTCTTTTAGCACTGCTGATAAATACCCAAAGGACGCTCCATTTACACTATAAGCCTCAGCCCAATGGTGCTCAGCAAACTTAGCTCTCCCCAGTTATGTGTCAGCCTCCTGCCCAAAGACACTCACCTTTACATGCTCCCTGGACTGGGAAGTCCACCGCTCTGGTACTCTGGCTTTTGATTCTGCTATGGCTGCTCCACTGCCAGTCCTCTGCCCATCCTCTAGTGTCACGGCTTTCTGTCCCTGGGTCGAGGAGGGTCAGTACATAGGAATCTTGGGGTCCAAAGGCTGTGCTCCATTTCAGACACCTCTTTCTTGTTGATAGTGACTTCCCCATTCCTACTTCTGTGTTGTGGGTTAATGGGCTGGACTGCAAAGTCGATTTGAACCACAAGATCTGTGTTCAAGCTCTCCAGCCACTCCTCAGAAAGCCTACATATACAGTGTTGCTATGGGTCGGAACCGACTCAATGGCACTTAACAACAGCAGTTCTGAGATGGCTCATTTAAAAGTCCAGCAGGATGGCAAAATTGACCAAATCCTACTTTAGATTTCCAAGCTCTATTAGCACAATTAGCCCCGTTAGTAATCACTCACAACTGAATCGTGTCATCTGTTCAGTCTCGTCTCACACCTTCTCCTACTCACACCCACCAGGAAAAAAAGTTGGTGGTGGTTGTTACAGAGTGTAGGTGGAAGAGCCATATGAGGTGATTCCATGCACTGTTCATAGTAATTAATGCTATGGGCTTCAACGTTAGGGTGACTCTGGGCTTAAATTTCAGCTTTTTTATTGACCAGTTTCTGATCATGAGCGATTGAGTTCATCTTTCTGGGTCTTGGTTTAGCCTTATTTGAACTGGAAATGGCGGTATTCACTACCTGAGGTTGATGTTGTCACTAGTAAGACGGCACCGTGCCCTTCAGGTAGGCCTTGTTCAGTAAAGCTCTTTCTGTGCGGTGGGTAGATGGCATCCCATGTATGCGCTGGGCACTGCTGCACTTCTGTCATTGTGCGGTGGATGATTCTCCTGTGAGTCGCGAGAAAGGTGGTAGTTGTACATGATTCGGAAGGGACACGTATCTCTTGGAAAGGGTACCTAGTTTAGTGTTTAACCCAAAGACAAGAGGATGGTGCTCTGAAACCTTAGTTTTCGTGCCAGAGCCTAGGATGATGATTATTTTTGAAGTGTATACTTCAGTGAGTTTTGACAAATACGAAGAGGAGGCTTCATTTTTACACTGTGCGTACCTATAAACCCAATACCCAAATTTCTAGTCTTTTTTTTAGCATTTTCTTGTGTTTTTAGTGAAAGTTGACAGAGTCAATTTGTTTCCCCTCCAACACTTTACACATGTTTTGTTTTGTGACGTGAGTTACAGTCCCTTCTGTGTCTCAGCGCTCTTCTCATGTCCCCCTGGGTTCCCTGTTCCCATTCTCCCATCTTGCCCACCCTTTCTTGCCTTCTTACCTTTGTTTTGGGAACATGCTGCCCCTTTGCTCTTGAATGATTGATTATTCTGAGAAGCATGTTTCTCATGGGTGTTATCATTCACTTTATAGGTGCTATAGGATAAAGACTCGACCACAAGGTCGATTAGAACTGTAAGACTGGTGGTTCAAACATACCAGTCGATCCTCTGAAACCCTATACAGGGTTGCTATGAGTTGGAACCTATGTGACAGCACTTAACAACAATGACAGTTATTTGACTGAATGGTCATCTCTGGGAATGGGTTCAGTTCCAGGTTTGAAGGGTGTCTAAAGACCATAGTTTCCTGAGTTCCAACAATTTCTATTAGACCGATAAGTCTGATCTCTTTTGTAAGTTTAAATTTTGTTCTATGTTTGTCTTCCATGTTGCGCAGGGTCATCTTTGATGATCCCTATCAGAGCACTTGGTAGTGGGCAGCATCTGGTTCTTTATAGTCTCAGGCTTGTGGGAGCTGTGGTTCACGTGGTTCAGTTGTCCTTTGGAATAACTCCTTGAGTCTTTGGTTTGCTTCGCTCTTCTTTGCTCTGCATGGAAGAGACCAACAGTTGTGTCTTAAATGGCCGTTTACAAACTTTTAAGATGCCATTGCTACTCGTCAAAGTAGAATGTAGAACGTTCTAGGACTAGTTTTCATGGGGCAGATGGGAACAGGCTTGACATGAAGTGAATAGTACATCAGTTAACAAATAGTTGCATCCTGAGGGATGTTTTAGAATGCAGATTTACTTCTCTGGAAGTCTTGTCACAGCCCTTCTTCTCTTCCTTTCAGTCCTACTCTTCCTTTAACACTCAGCTCAAATGTCCCTGTCTGCAGGAGAGTCTCAGAAAGTCCCCAGGATAGGTTAGACTTAGAGTTCTCTGTACCTCTTCGTAATCAAATAATTAATTGTCAAGTGCCTTGTTGGTTCATGCCTGCCTTGTCTTCTAAAATGTAA